AGTCGCTGCCAGGGACGCAGCATATATACGCGAGCCCAGCTCGCCTTCACGTCCGCACAGGACTTAGTCGCTGCCAGGGACGCAGCATATACACGCGAGCCCAGCTCGCCTTCACGTCCGCACAGGATTTAGTCGCTGCCCGGGACGCAGCACATACACGCGAGCCCAGCTCGCCTTCACGTCCGCACAGGACTTAGTCGCTGCCAGGGACGCAGCACATAAACGCGAGCCGTGCTCGCCTTCACGTCCGCACGGGACTTAGACGCTGCCAGAGACGCAGCATATACAAAACACGGAGCCAAAGACTCCCGTCGCCGAATAACTTCGCGAATCACTTGCACCCCACGTCATCTTACGGGGCCACTGGATAGCGGACTGTTAGCGACGAAGACCGCGGTCTCCACACGGCGAGCGGACATCAATCCGCATCCCGCATAACGAACCGGCCGCTCTCCACCCTCGGGCCGTTCGAAACATATTGAGAGAAAACAGTTCTTTGTACTAGTTTCATATGCTACACATTTTTATAAAGAATTTTCTATTAAGATGATGTACATTTTATAAAAGTACTATTTGTTACGTAGAACGCAGATTAATGAAGGATACGAAATTTCTTACTGAAAATGAAATATTACTTTCGTTTACATAAATAAGCATGAATTAATATCGCAATCACAGTTGAAACAATTGCATTAATCTAAGACTAGCAGGTCTTATCACGGGGAAATCTACATGAAGTAAGTTTCCTACAAATTATTAAAATCACTTATGTGTTTTTATGCGATGTTCTTTTTCCCAACATACATTTTTGAGGACATCTTTATTTGTTATTTTATTACAAGTAATAATTTTATTACAGTAATGAATTCACATTACTTGTTTAAAATATGTCACAGTATGTCATTGTATTCTTTAATTTTCCCTTGCACTGCTTGTAGAATACCATATGTCAACGATTAATATCTATCTAGTTTTGATATTTCCTTCAAATCTCAATACTTTACTTGTATTTTATATCACATCATTGCTAATAACAAAAGGTATATAATTTTATAATTTGTAGCATGATCACATTAAAACCTCTTTTTCTCTTATCCGTGATGGGACCCGCTAATCTACGATTTATGCAATTATTTCAACTGTGATTGCGATCTTGTACTATATTGAAAATTTTATACTTATATTTGTTATTGCTTGAAATTATTATATAACTATTATAACATTGAAAATTTTATATTTATTTTTTTATTGTTGAAAGGTAATGGGTGTTTACGACAATTCGAGTTAGAGTTAGTTCCACTAGGGCCGAAATAAGTTACAGACATCACCATCTACTACTATTATGATTCATGACAACCCAAAGCTATCCAATGCTGTCTCACGACTGCAAACAGTGGATTAGGCAGAACAATATCGTGACAGATACACGAGGTAATAATTTTGTATTATTGATTATAAAATCATCTGGTGTTGTTTTCTAATAATATTTTATTTATTCTTAATTAAAGTTATATAACCATTAAAATATATATTATATTTTTCAAATATTATCCTAAAGTAAAAGTCACACTATTTTAACCTATTTGCAAATATTGTTTTTACATAATTCATGCAGGTGCAAGTCCACAATAAATTATATCATTAGAGTATACCCAGTAAGCAATCTGCGCGGACTGTCGACAGGATCTGTCGAATCCAAGCAGGATCTGTCGACAGATCCATAGACATCTACGTCCCCAATCTGCCGCCAGACTGTTGACAGGGTCTGCGCGCAGTCTGTCACCAATCTGTCGTCAGAGACTGCTAAAACAGTTTCTGTGTGCCATTCTGTCAACAGATACTGTTGACAGACTCTGCGTAAAATCTGCTCGCACAGGTTTGGCTATCAGGGTATTGATGACAAAACAAGATAAATTTGTTTGCACAGTTTGTTTTAAATTATATGTAATTCTACAAACATTTTTTAATGGCTTGGTTTATACATCGTACACTTAATACACGTACTAAATAGTATCAAGTGCACGATGTAAATCAAGCCAATGTTATTATTTTTTAACATTATTTGAGTTATTTCTTTTATACTTTAATACTCATTACAACTAAACAGTTTTAGATAAAAAATGGATGTAATATAAATGTGGGAAATATTTTTTGATCACCCATCTGATGAAGATGAGGATAACTTCTAACCTCCACGGGAACATCATATAAGGATCCCACATTTTTTTGAAAACATTGTCGTAATATACTCATTGACAGGTAAAAGAATCTGACGTTTTGCTGTACTATAATAATTTATTGTTTTAAGTTTATATAAATGTTCTTGCATTATATATTTTGATTACAATAAACTATATTAACATTATTAAAATAGATTTTAAATCACATTTTCGAGTGGAAAAGACAACATTTGAACAACTAGTATAAACACTTGGACCACGTCTGAATGCGCACGACCCTGAAAACGTGTCTCCAAATAAGCAAATAGCTATTGCCTTATGATTCTTTGGTAATCAGGAAGTATATAAGTTAGTATATTTTATTTTTATACGAAAAATATCTGCAATAGTATATTTGGCTAAATCATTTTTTTTCTTCTACATTTCTTTCATTTATTTTTGACTTCTTAACTAAATATTTGCGATAATTTTATGTATAAGTATGTGTGCATACAAAATTTTTGTTTTAGGTCAATAGCAGATAGATTTGAAATATCTAAGGACACTGTTTGGAGAATTGTATTTCAAGTAGCAATATTATTAACTGAAGATGTTGGTACATATATTAAATGGCCTGAACCTCACGAAATGATAAAGATAGAAAGAGAATTTCGTAAAATTAATGGTTTTCTTGGCGTCATTGGATCAATCGATGGTTCCCACATAGCAATAAGTGCACCAACAGAAAATAGCGACAATTATATTAACCATAAAGATTACCATTCTATAGTTACAAGGGATTTGCGATTATATTAGGACCTTAACTTAGTTTCCGCCCGCAAATGTTAGATGGCAATGCAAACAGTTCTAGTAGTCATTACTAACGAAACAGGTAGTTTGTGATTAATTTCGACATTTCTCGATAACATTCAGTCAGCATACACAATTATTTTCCTAAACAACAATTTCTTTTGC